TATCAAATACTTATTTCATGCAATAAAATGGAAATACATTATTTAAAAATCTAACAATGTGATTTTCTGGAAGTTTTTGTAGATTCTGTCTCTCACAGTTGAGGTGCACCTACGAAGAAAATTACAGATGTGTCCATTCTTTGTAAGTGGAAAAACTGGAAAAATTGGCGGTGTATCAAATACTTATTTGCCCCACTGTATGTAAATCCTTGCATATAAACACCCGCACTTACAAAGGGACTCCATACTAACTACTAAGTTCAACTTAAGGAACTATCTACAGTGTACTTTACTGGAATGTGTACAAGGTATTGTCTTGAGTGTTTCCCAATCCAGGGCTATCCCAACCACTGGCTTTAAGCCAGCACTTCTACATTCCCCTCTCATTTGTTGTCTCCACCTCCCTGCTCTCCTTTCCTGCAGCTTACCAGCTTTATCTCTTTCATCCTTCACCAGAGAAAGCACCTGAGCCGTGCAAAGCTTTAGTCCACAAGGCTGGGGTTTCAAACCACACAGGACACCACGGGCCTGCTTACCAGAAATAATGCTGGTGCTTGTTGTCTTTCCTCATACTGAGGCTTGACAGCATAGGTTTTGTGATATCCTGTGTCTACCCTGTGTGTGAAAACACATGCACACGACACACGCACACACCAAACTCTTTTTTTCATGTGCTCAAATATATAATGCCATATGCAGCTATAACCAAAAAGGGAGATTTTCAGGCACAGGTCCCGTCACAGTCATTTGCCTACTAGATTGCGCGGTTTTGACTGAACATTGCACATAAAGAACATACTTATCAAAATGAGGCCAGGGTACTTTTTGTTTTTCAAAACATAAAGTTTACCAGCCAGATCTGAACAGATTTTCTGGCACTGGCCAACTTCCCAAACACAAAGCAAAAGTGAAGTACAGTTTTTCCAATATTGATGACAAATCCTGAGTTTCTGTGGTTTGCATATAGAACTTTTTGACAGAGTGTTACTATCAGTACTGTTACTCGACAAAAGTGCAAGTTCTTGATTTGCCTTCTACTCCCTGAACTACTATGATGGTAGAGACAGCTGTTTGATCCTCCCACACTGGCCATGTTGTCAGTGCGACTGCACAAGCACACACTATAGCAGTCTACTTTTTATTGCTCTGGCCACAGCTGATGGTGACACTAGTGGGGTTTTGGGACCGAATGCCCTGGGGCAACCTACACTAAAGCATGCACAAATGGTCATGTGGTTTAGATTAATGACATCCACTAAAGGTCATGTATTACTGCTACAATATGCAGATATTTAACAATTCAATAATCACTTTTTTAAAGACACTGTTTTGTTGAAACTTTGCTCAGAGTCATGTAAATTCTTTTGACATTTTCTCTGTTTATTTATGTGCATGCTGGTGGTGTGCTAGTTTATTTTTCTAGTGTGTGTGTGTGTGTGTGTACATGTGTGCGCACAAGTGAGACATGCGTGTTTGTGTGCGCTTTAGTGTCCTTGTTCCGAGAAGTCACGTGACGTGACCCTCCCCCCCCCCACCCGGGCTATTTCTCAACGTACCTTGCACTGAGGTTTTTAGGCGGTAGTTTACTGGGACTTTCCCTTACTGCGCGTCTCTCTCTCTCTTGCTCTTTTGTGCTGTTTCTCTTGCTGTCTCTTCATATCTCTCGCTGAATATATATTAAGAGAATTTAGGGTTTCTAACCATAGCTGATGAACTGACTGATACTATCAGAATAACTGTCAACATCACTGACCTAAGAGCATGTGATGTTTACTTGTGCAGAAGAACTGTCTTTACCCTTTAGTCAACAAGAAAAGTCTCTCAGTGTTCTCTTCCAGTTATCTTTATGTTTGACATTGCCTACAGCCTGGGGCTGTTCGTCATGCCCAGCAACCTCCTCTCTTCTCCTCCCACCTTTTCACCTCATTCATGTTGATCCACTCATTTTGCTGGAATGCAAGTGTGCAAGGACAGACCCAGGGGAAAAAGCAGGGATTTTCCCTTGTTATCCTCTCTTTCCCCTGACTCCCCTCTACTGCTTCCGTTTCTTTGACATTCCTCTGTCCCTCCCAACTTCCTGGTTTCACACCCTTGCCACCCTTCCTCGTATCTTTGCTGGATTTTTGTTTTAGTCACTCTGAAATCTTTTACAGGAAGCCACAGCTAAATGCTGCCAACTATGAGAAGTCTATTTTAAAGGCCTTAAAAAGCCCGTAGGTTCTGGAAATGATCCAAGAGGATGCTATCAGATGAGTTTCTTTAGTGCTGTGAGGAGACATAATAAGATGTCTGCTTCACAGGTGGTTCAATAACAGAAATTTTCGAGAAAATATGATTGTATATGTGTGTATATATTTTGTTTTTGTTTTGTTTTTTTTACCTTAAGTGTGTGTGACTCAGGATTCAGGGAAACAGGAGTTGAAGGGAAGAATACTGACATGCTGGAGGAATAAAGAAACTATCCCACTGCTAGACTACTTTTTCATAGTCTTTACTGGAATATAACCCCAGTGTGTACACACACACACACACACACACACACACACACACTAGTGATACAGCAGAAGTGAAACTTGGAGCAGCAATCTGTTCCTGATCACTGTCTTTGTTGTGTAACTTGAATAGCAGCTAAAAAGTCCAGGTTTAAAGACTTCCCTTTCTGACTGATCCATTGCATTGCTTAATTTAAACAGCACGTCAGTGCCCTCCCTGGCCAGAGTCGACATAATTATCAACAGGATGATACATGCTAACCTCACCCAGAGGATCATCCTGGATTGGCCAAGCAATTTCTGGTGAACCATGTAATTTTGTCACTGCAGACTGTTTGTCTCGCAGAACAGGGTTTTCCTCATTTTAAATTAATCATACAATCTCATGCTAGGGCTGTTGTTGTTGGTTTTGTAATCTATTGTGCAAAGATCTCATCTTTGACATAGATTTTGGACTTACAATTATGAATTGTGCATGCATAGGTTAGGTATGTTTGTGCATATGTGGTAATTTTGTATATCTTTATTTCATGAGCTTCTTATGTGTGGTAATGATTAGGTAACCAGACACGGTTTCTTGTTTATTTATTTTAGGCATTGGCCTGACCTTACAGGTATTTTTTAATTGTATTTCTGACCTTTAACCTGCAGAACAGGTTAGCAGGGAAGGGAGGCTTTTACTGGAAACAGTAACACTGTTCCTCCACCACAAGAATGTGGTTGTTTGAAGTTTAAACTGAAAGTTTATACCTCATCACCTTTCATCTCTGGTATTAATAACACAGTGGTTTTGTAACACATATAGTTTTATAATAGCAGAAAATCTCAAAAAGTTTAAGGAATGGGAAACATGCCAATTTGCTTTCTTGCTGAAAGGGCTGTATGCTCAATGTGAAGCTATAGTCAGCAACCTGTTAGCTTAGCATAAAGATTGGAAACAGATAGCATGGCTAGGTATAAGACCTGAGCAATATGGTGAATTATTGTTTTTACAATTCAATATGAATTAAATCATCAAGATCATGTTAATTAGTGAGCTGTAGATGCTGGCTCTTGGATTTTGTTATTGCTGGACAGAATCCAACTTTTTCATTGTGCTAAGCTAAGCGAACTGTCCCCTGGTTCTAGCGTTATATATACCATATTTACATTAGAGCATCAACCTTCTCATTTAACCATCCACCAGGAAAGCAAATAAATGTCAAACTATTTTTTGGGTTTTTAATTTGATTTTAAAAAAAAAAAAAAAAAAAAAACACTAGCCAGAAGGACCAAATCATTACGTTTAGCAATGAAAATCTGTAATTGCCACTATGAACATTTTAAGTCAGATCAATTATACTATGCTGGATATTTGTTTTGAAATATTGTTGTACATAGATAGGAATGATGTCTTTTAAGATAGTATCAGTATTAGTTTTGGGCGGGCATGCTCTTAATGGCATCCTGTGCAGGGTGAATATACCAGTTTGTCTAAACTGTCATTTTTGCTCTCCCCCCCCATCACCCCTCCTCCCACCTCAGACTCCCCTTCATCTGGCAGTGATAACTCAGCAGGCAAACATGGTGAATGTTTTGTTGCATGCGGGGGCTGACCCTGGTGCCTTGGACCGTAACGGCCAAACAGCACTCCACCTCTGCTGTGAATACAACCAGCGTGAATGTCTGTCTGTCGTGCTCTCTCAGCCCTCTTTCCACACATGCCTGGAGATCAGAAACTATGAGGGTAAGCTGTGGTCTACTGAAGAAGCTATTTGGTATCTGTTGTTTTGTTCTTGATTTAAAAAACAATCTCTTAGCTCTTCTTGCTATGTTGTTTAATCTGACAAAACGTTTTGATTGTTTTTACCTATTTGCTCAGTGAGCTCCCTGTAATTAATTTAATGAACATACACAAAGTCAATATCAAATAAAAAGTATTTTGTTAATTTAGATGAACAAATATGTTTTGGCACCAGTAGCCTTTTTCTCATTCTCCCCTTCTTTGTGTCCTGGTTTACACAGATTCTTTTGCAGAACAATGCACAATACATGCACAACCAGTAAAATGGTGAAATACATTAACAAGCATTGACATAGCAACCAGAGTGCCATTACAAAAGTAATAGTCACAACATTTATAATTATGCTCCTTTCTTATACAGCATTTACATATATGGAGAATATGAGAAATGTGAACTTTTGTTCGGGTAGGGGTTAGGTTGATTGTTTTAGTTGTGTGGGTGGGAAGAGAAAAGGGCATTTCCTTCCTTTGTGGTCTTGTGTTTGTATAATGTTGCATTGCTAAATCTCCACTGTACACCTGTCATGTGAAAGTAACATGTCTGGGTACAGGAAAATGCCCTGAAAATACACCCAGGCTCCTCTTTCTACAATGAGTATTCTATCAGTGAGCTTATATATAATGATCAGATCTAAGAACATGACAGTCATGAATAACAGATTCTATCATATTATTTTACTGCCATAGAATTAGCAGATTCATGTCCAGGTAAGACTTGTTAAGCTTTTTAGTCTGCAGGTATAGCAAACTATTTCAGTGGGATTATCTCATATTGTGCAACTCAGCTCATTGGCACTGCTGCTTCTAGAGTCTTTAAAGTGATGAAAACTGGCTTCTAGTATATAGAACTGAGATGCTCCACTTGTCTACAGATGTTTCAGTAAACCTCTTGGTCTCTTATTTCATGTAATAGCAATGTATCAATAATTCCAACAAAGCAGAGAGAAGCAGCATTATTATTTATTTAGGTTCATGTGAAAACACATATACACAAAGATGCCTAACCCCTATACACACAATTAATTATTGTCAACAAGTAAATCAAAGCCCAAAAAAATCTTTGTACAACAGAACAGACATCACCACCAACAACAGCCCTACCATAAAACTGTGTGATTAATTCAAAATGAAGAAAAACCTGTTATGAGAGACAAACAGTCCAGAAGTCGGCTTTTCCTACCCTCCTCTGAGTTCATGTTTAATCAGTTTAAAAATGTTTTAACCTTTTTAATGGTTTATGCAAGCGTATGTATGTGTGTTCTTTTGTGCATCTGTATAGTGCATATAGAGTATCCTGTACATCTATACATTATTTGCTCAGTAAAACTCTGATTTGTCTGTCTTCTCAGGTTTAAGCCCTCTCCACCTGGCTGTGCTGCAAGGCCATATAGAGCTGGCCAGAATGCTGCTGGATGCAGGAGCTGACATCAATGCTATGGTCAGTCCTTGTGCTGCACTGAGTCAGCTCTGATGGAAATTTCACAACACCATAAATTTTTAATTTACCAAATTTGGGTCTACTGACTTTTCCCATTTTTTTTCTAATCAGGACATAAAAAGTGGACAGAGTCCTCTCATGCATGCGGTAGAGAACAATAAAGCAGGCATGGTCCACTTCCTCATTGAGGTAATGAGGGTGGGTGGGGAGGGAAGGGTTGTGAGTCAGCTCTATTTGATCAGTCTGGTTTTCTTTTTCCGACTCATCAAAGTTTTCATTCTTTCTGGTGTATAAATGAGACCTTCAAAGAGCAAAATATTCATAGTTTAACTTTATTATCAAAGCTTAGTGGATGTGCTGTGCATGAGCAGAATGATCTTTAAAGGATTTTCTCCTCTTCCTCTCACCTATCTGATGTAAGTCATCCTCTCCATGGCTCTAGCTTTTGGTTCGCTTTCTGTGTCTACTCTAGCTTTCTTTATGAATCACATCTGGGTCAACCTCTCCTGTTTTTTTTGTGACAGAATGGCTGTGAAGTCAACAGCCAGTCGTACAGTGGGAATACAGCCCTGCACAGCGCCTGTGGCCGAGGTCAGGTGGACACAGTGCGGCTGCTGCTCAAGAGTGGAGCAGATAGCAGCCTCAAGAACTATCACAACGACACCCCTGTGATGGTGGCCAAGAACAAGAAAGTAAGTGGGAGGTGACAGAAAAAGAAAGTATGGATAATAAAACAGACCTTGTTTAGACTCCATTCTTCATGTGTTGTTTGTTTAAGCCTTTTTTTTATGGCTGCCACTTCTTCAGGACAATTCAGATAGTATCGAGAAAGCAGTGAACCCAGTTTGAGGTTACGAAATTGCCTGTGAACAACTCCCTTGAGATATTATATGCTTTTAGTCACTCAGTTTTATGATGAAAAATTCCACCCATTTGTCACTGCGGGTACATCAGCAATAAATGCAAACAATTGCAAAATCTGTTTGACTCAGCTCTGATAGCAGCAATACATGGTTGGAGCCAGAAATCAAAAGCACTGTAAATATGTGTATCCTTCCCCCTAGAGGCCAGATCTGAATTACACTGTTGTTTTGTTGAGGAGTATTTTTTTTATTGTATCACTGTGACCCTCACTTTAAGTCATGCACACAAGGTTGATAACAGATTGTAAATCTTTTCCAGATAGCAGATGTGTTAAGAGGGAGAGGCTCCAGGCAAATAAGAGGTCAGGAACAACACTGTGCACCAGTCTCACCACATGGGAGCAGTGTAATGGAAAATGGTGAGAACATGCACATAGGTTCACACACAAATACACACAGTTGGTAAAATTACAGTTAGTGATTTATACTCTCTGCTTCACCTTTAGGGTCTTCATCTCCTAACCACAGTCGCGGATGTTCACCTTCGACTACACCACACACCCCTCATCTTAACAATTCTCACTCTCCAAAGACTCCATCTAGGCCTGTATTTCCATTTTACTAGTGTAAAGTTACTGTCTAGTGGAACTTGCAACTACCTTTACAAAGCCAACCAACATGGAGACTTCAGTGCCCAGACACCCAAGTTAAAGCTGTATTAACTAATTCATCACTCTAATTTTCGACCATTAAGGGCAAAGTGAGAATCAAAACAAACTCAAACAGTATCCCCTCCTCTTCTCCCTCTGCTCCTCTTTGCCCCTCCTGCCCTGTCTTTGAAACTAAATCACATGTGGTCACAACAGCTGGAGACAGGAGTCAGGTAGCACAGCAGTAATAACCGGCTCCAGAACTAAGGTATATGGGATATAAAGCCCATAGAGTCTGTGGTTTTAGTGACATTGCTGTGACACAATGTCAAACAAAGAGGCTTACATTTTAGCAATATCCATATTGTATGGCTAATGTTGTTTGTAGCAGATGTATCTGCAGTAACACAAGCAAGTTATACAAAGTAGTGTTTATTCCTAGTAATATTGATACAGTACTAATGTTCTGACCACTATCATATCGTTTTCAATGTTACATACTGGACACACAACATTATAACGTAACCGTGAGTTGTATGTGAAACAAGAGAAATATTACGCTTTGATAGTTGAACAAACTCTCCACTTTTCTAGCTGTGTTGATGGTGTAAATTTTAACAAGTTCTCATTAACATGCTACATGGACTTCAGTGTTAAGCCTGACATAAATGTGCTGGTTTCCGCCAAGTGGACAACAAAACACTAACATTGCAGTCAGTTGGAATGACTCCAAATTACAACAAGAATAATTCAATACAAAGGTGCACAATTGAAATGCTAATGTTAGCTTGCTAATGATGCCAACATATACATGTTAGCTAGCTACTTACACATCTAGAAGGAAGAAAGCCATATCTGTGTCAAATTTTAGTCCTTTGGATGCTTCTAATGCTCTCCACCTCTGACACGCCAAAACAGTGTTAACTGTTGTTTTGCCTCATTCTTTGTTCCACTTTTTCTGTGGTACAGAACACAACCTCTTGGTTCTAACAGGTCTGCTCTCATTGTGGGTTGTACCTGCACAGGCCATCTTTGAAATGAGCCATACTGGTTTATAAAATGCATGTTATAACCTTGAATCATTTGGGATGTGGAAGACATGCCGTGTGGCTTTTAAGAACACTGGCCACAGAGGGCAAGAAATAAACACCATGCTTGAAGATGGCAGAGTGGGGTGAGGGGTTAGTACAGGAGGGAGAAAACACTTCAAGTCAACTTTTGCTTGATTTATCCTAATCTGTGCTAAATCTTAGTTAATACAGCTTTAAGCCAAAGGGAAGACAACTGCACCTAAAATTAGGATTCTCTACAAACTGGCCTTTATTTTTCTGGACTCCATGACAAAAGACACTCATTTGCCTTTCGGTGCCTGCAACCTCTCTGCTCAACTGGCTGCTGCTGTAGTGGGAACTCCCATAATGAAGAGGAGCAAAATGGTTACCTACAAGCTGTGTAGTGACTGCAACTGATTTCTCCACATGCATCTATACATGATCAGAAATGTGCCACTGAATGCAATCAAAGAACTGTTTTCAACTGCCTGGAGATGTCAGTAAGTGATAGACCTGACTTGATACAGTATATAGACATTAGGAAGCGAAAGGAGAAAAATAGGTGGGGTTACATCCAGCAAATGACCCCAGTCCATGCCCAGTCTGCTTAATGTAAAATTTGGCAAAATAACTTGACATGCTAAGTATTGCACAATGAAATTCCTTATTTTTACCATTTTAATAAACTATGTCCACTGTAACTGTCAGTTTTGTTGTGCATATGTGCCTGTACATGTGTGTTGTTTTTCATTGTCAAAAGTTGTAGATATTTTTATATAGAATTTGTCTAAAGAATTCACTTTTGTCATGTTTCTGTCACCTCATCTCACAGCAACCCCTGTGGTTTTGAAAGCAGGCTTGTGATTGGTCAGTTGGCAACTCTGTTCCAGCCCCAAAACAAGTGCGCGGCCATGTTGAATTGTCAGTAATCTGGTAGAGACAATAGAGTGAGGTAGTACGTATTTGTCAAACGTAATCAAATTGCCCGTATAACGACAGGCAACCATAGAACGTGGAAGACTTTGTGTGGATGTAACTTTAGCTAAGTGAAGGTAGTATTGTTCTTTGACTGGATAAAGAACCATTTCTCAAGCATATTGATGAATATTAACAGTAACGTTGATGGCTAGGCTAACATGAACAAGCTAACTTAGTGGTTTGGTCAGGTTGAAGTAGTAGGTATGAACTGAGAAGACCCATGAACAGTTTAAAGACATAAACAAGAACAGGACCCAACGTTAGCATGATAGATTAAGCCATGTTGCTATGCATAGTTTTATCGTTGCTTACAGGCGTGCTACTCTACTTCTGTCAAGCTGTCAACAGCTAACGTTAGTTTACAAATAACGAGTCTTCATGAAAGAAGGGAGCCACGGGACACTGCACTGATAGTTGGCCCTAATTTGTCTTTTGTTTAACAAGGTTAACATAGTGTCCCACTAACTTTGAACATAACTTGGTGTGTCATTGACTTCAGGAATGGATTGTGCATTAGAATCAGATTGTGCACTAGGCTAGTTTAAGTTAACTTTAGGATTAGGTTAACAATTGACATCACAACAAAGTTGCAGTAGCAATTTCATGTCAAGATAAAGCTGCTGACAAACTACTTTCGACCTGTCATTGGTTCAGGTTAGGGGAAACATCTCGACACAGCACCGGATTGCGACAGAAAGCATTGCTACTAGACGCAGCTGAAATATAACGTTATGTTTTTGATGTCCAGTGCTTTTGACTAACATTAGTTTGTGTTACTCGCCATCTAGAGTGCTATTATTCTATGACTCGTTTGTTAATACGCAAAATTCACACCCGACGATTGTTTTATGACTGGCAGGTAACCTGGATTTTTGTTGTTTGGCGGTTTCCAACGCACTTTGCAGACTGCCACCTTAACATTTTCTGTAGAAGTAAAGGAACCTGAACAAGAAACCACATACATTCAAGTTGACTGTCCATGTCAAAGAAACGATTGCCACAGTGACTTATCGAGCCAGTATTAACCTCCAGCAAACACGTCTGAACACTTGTTTATGTGAAAGAAACAAGTGGTTATTGTCTGTCATTACCAAGTAAATCACATTTCCCTAGTGGACATGCTGAATGTATAAATACTGACTTAAAAATCCCAAAATAGTGAAAGAATACACAAGGAAATTTCAGACCTAAAGTTACAGCAAAGGAAAGAGTATGTTGAAAGAAAAAACAGTTTATCACTTGGTCACATACTTGATTTATTTATACACATGAATATAAATGTCTGTTTTGGGAGAGTTGGCTTGTAAATAGAATTTATATGCAGGATTCTTTTTTTTCAAGAAGTCTAAATATCAGATTTTGTTTACAGTACATTCGTTAAAAAGGAAAAAATAGGAGAAGTGTTTTATTTTTCTATCTTTTAGATTTTTTTTTTTTTTTTACACAGTGCATTAAGCAAAACAGATCAGTGCAAAAGAGGTCAAATAAATTTTACACACTGTGAGGGAAATTGCCAGTTAAAGTGTGAACCCATGGCTACAGTAAGATCAGCAAATCCAGCACCAATGATTGGACTGAACAAGCCAGCAAATATGCAACTCAGAGGACAGCCCAAGCCAGCTGGACCACAATCAGGACGCCCTTCAACAGGCAGGCAACCCATTGGCCCAGAGGAAAGGAGCAGCATTCCCCAGTGTAGTGGGGGCATCAAGTAAGATATTAGTTGCACATATGTACTCTCTTTTGCATTGAAAGCAGTGTTGTTTTTTTGTTCAGATATTAATGCTGCATGCAAGAATCTGGAAATTGGAAAAATACATTTTTGGGTTGAATATGTTTCGGGGCTGTACGTTGTTAGTGTGTTGTTTTGTTATGTACCTGGTGCAAATTCTTCTTGTTAGGTTTGGTGATGACTGGAAGAAGTTCTTGGAGCTTCCTCCAAAAGACAACAGGGTGAAAACTTCGGTAAGGGCATAATTAGTAATGTACAGATTCACTGTTTATGACTCTGAGATGCACCAGTGTTTTTTCTTGAATTTAGTTTAGACTTAGTAGATGTTTGTCATATTCCACATGTGCATTCTTTTTGTTTCCTAGGATGTGACTTCAACAAAAGGAAATAAATTTGAAGACTGCTGTCTTAAACGGGAACTTCTAATGAGAATTTTTGAAATGGGATGGGAGAAACCCTCCCCTATCCAGGTAAATAAAGCTATTTGGTTTTGAGGCCCTCTTGTTTATGTGATGTGAGATTAATTTGAATTTATTCTTTTCAAACCACCGAGAGACTTCTAATGAACCCAAGGCCTACCTCTTGGTTCACATTTATAAAAAATGTATACAGTTGCAAGAAAAAGTAATGACACTGGCATTTGCACTTTTTCTGCTTTTCTGCATAAATTGGTCATGAATTATGATCTGACCTTAATCACTGTCACAAATATCAAGAAATACAATATTTCTAAGATGAAAAAACAAACAGTCATGGTCTTTCATATCTTTATTGAACACACCCATTAAAAGTATAAAGTGATCGTGGATAAAGTAATGGCAACACGAGGCTTCTGATGTCACTAAATGTCAACTGGAGTCAGGTGTTAGCAAACGGTGAACACTGCCTATTTTACTGATTGGAATTCTCTGTCTGCCAAGAGGAGGAGAGCAGCCCATTAGCTCTGTCAGGTAGAGATATAGGTAGAGATATTTTGGCTCGGGCCAAGAATGGCACAGGAAAAAGTTTAGCCTACCTCATCCCTCTGCTGGAGAGAATAGACCTTAAGAAGGATCACATCCAGGGTGAGTTCCTGCTGCCTCCGCCAGCTATTGTTGATTTTGAAACAGTTGCAGCACGATGGATATAAATTTGTGTACGACTTTGAGGGTTGTATTATTGCAATATTTTATTATATCTTTTAAAAATCTAGTTTAAACTGAAGCAGAATTGGCAGGAAAGCCTAGGAGCACTGATTTGTGTGCTGCTGTTTTGATGCTCTCCACACTCTCAGATGTTTCCAGACATAATCCCATTATAAAGAGAATAGCACAGGGGTGTCCAAACGTTTTTCAGAGGGGACCAGATTCAGTAATATGAAAATGCCTGAGGGCTGACTGTATCTCCTCATATAGTTATGCACTATAAGAAAATCACATACAAATGTACTGTCCTATAACAATTTTATTTTCAGTGAAATAATCCTATCTACATATGCTGGAGGCGTCACAGTCAGCCAGAGACACTTAATGGTGCTTCCACCCTCAGGTAAAAAAAGGAATTGCATCTTGAACTGTATGATAAGTTGGTTTTCTTTGACACTCCTGGTGGGCCAAAAATGGTAACCTTTTAGGAATAAAGCAAAGGGCTCTATAAAATCCGTCCTAGTGTCATGATTGGCCCTCACTGGACACACTTTTTTGTACTGCACAATGTCTGGAGCATAAGGACAAATTTATGATCACTGCACTGCTCTACCCAGTACATATTCTTGTCTGCTGTTGGCTAACAAGGGTCTTTGGTCTGAATATGTGAAATTCATTTTACTTTGTTAGCATCACTTTAAATTTTTCCACGCATCTCAGCCCTTGCATTTCACCGCCCCCCCTATTTCTGTCTCAATCCAGCCATAGTCATGGTACCAACAAGAGAGTTGGCCCTGCAGGTGAGCCAGATGAGCATTCAACTAGGTAAGCATCTAGGAGGGCTCAAGATCATGGCTACTACAGGTGGCACCAACCTCAGGGATGACATCATGCGTCTTGATGAGACAGGTACCTGTCATGGCATTGATAATATTAAAAATAATAAAAAAAAAACAATAAGTTATTTTTTGGGTCATGGTTTGTTTGTTTTTTTTTTTTTTGGGAAATTTCATTTATTTCATGTACCAAAGATAAAATTGTGTGTGTTGAAGGCACTATTCAGAAGGCTGCTGAATGTGAAGCACTTGGTTTAGCAACAACAAGGAAATCCAACAGGCAGTATATTAACACTGAACTGCTCTGTGAAACTTACTGTGATACATTCTTTGTGTCTCTTCCTGTCCTAATAGTGCATTTAGTGATTGCTACACCAGGCAGGATACTAGACCTGATCAAGAAGGGTGTAGCAGAAGTGGATAAGATCCAAATGATGGTGATGGATGAGGTGGGTTTGGCTCTTTATTTCTGAATTTACTTTCAGTATTGTTGACTGTTCCATTTTTGACATTCTTTCTTTAAATATCTCTTTGTTCAGGCAGATAAGCTGCTGTCTCAGGACTTTGTGGTGCTGATTGAAAATATTATTAGTTTTTTGCCAAAGGATCATCAGATCCTGCTTTACTCTGCCGCCTTACCCATCAATGTCCATAAATTTATGGTGAGAAGCAATTTTATTCTCTAAAGACCTATAAATTATAAATGATCGCTTGCTTTTCATAATACATTATGAATATCTTTTCCAGCGCAATCACCTACAGAAGCCTTATGAGATCAACCTGATGGAAGAACTGACCTTAAAGGGTATCACCCAATACTATGCATATGTGACTGAAAGACAGAAGGTCCACTGTCTGAACACGCTCTTTTCTAGGGTGAGTTGTCACTTACCAGCTGAATATTAAATAACCTGTTTCATGTTATAGAATAACTAACTCAATACCATGCTGAAAAGCTCTTTCACTGCCCTGCGATAGACTGATTATTTTATTTATAAAATGGTTTCTCAGTTGATTTTTAGAGAAATGTATGTTACAATACACATACTGATACCACAATGTAAAATTACATATTATGATGGAGGATTTGGTTTCAAAATGCCATGGAAACGTACTTCCATGAGGATATGAGATTGGTGACATACATGTATGCTGCTTTTTTGGTCACTGTAGCTTAGGTAGACCCGTGAGATACTAGAGACCTAGAGTGTAATATATTCAAGAGTTCATTTCTTCAGTATTCAATAATCCTACATCTTTTTCCAGCTTCAGATCAATCAGTCTATTATCTTCTGTAACTCCACCCAGAGGGTTGCGCTTCTAGCCAGGAAGATCACCCAGCTGGGCTCATCATGCTTTTACATTCATGCAAAGATGATGCAGGAGTACAGGAACCGCGTGTTCCATGACTTTAGGAATGGATTGTGCAGAAACCTGGTCTGCACAGGTAGGTGCATTTTAAAATTCTAAAGTAAAAATTGAAGTTATTAGTGTTCAGTATGCTCACAGGGGTTTCACGCCAGTGACTTCTGTGCCGGTCCCAAGCCTGGATAAATAGAGAGGGTTGTGTCAGGAGGGGCATCCGGCATAAAAATGTGCCAAATTTAGTCATGCAAATTGGATTCGCTGTGGCGACTCCTAATGGGAACAGCTGAAAGTAGGGTAGTAGTGTTCAGTATGCTGATTAAATACACCTTGTCTTGTAGACCTGTTCACCCGGGGAATTGACATCCAGGCAGTAAATGTGGTCTTCAATTTTGACTTTCCTAAAAGTGCAGAGACCTATCTACACCGCATTGGCCGATCAGGTAAAGATTGAGATCTTTATAAAGTATCACACCATTAGCATTAACGTTTCGTTTACAGCTACAACCTAAAACCACAACTCAAAATTTGGCACATCAGGTTCACTTCATGACTGCTAGCAGTGTTTAATAGCTGCACAATGTATCTTCTCTCTCAGGACGTTTCGGTCACCTGGGTCTGGCCGTTAATCTGATAACTTCAGATGACCGCTACAACCTGAAGACTATTGAGGAACAGCTGGCTACTGATATTAAGCCCATCCCCAGCAGCATTGATAAGAGCCTGTACGTGGCAGAGTTTCACTCCATTGATGGCGACTGCGACGAGGGAGCCAAAAACAAGGACATGGGACCATCAGGAAACAAATGGTCAGTTCTTTGAAAAGCTCAAAACCTGGCTGTGACTGAAGATGGACCTTCTGAAGTTAAATGTTTTTTTTTTCTTTTTTTTTTTTCTAAGACAAGTTAAAGCAGAATTATTTTTATCGGTCACTGATAAATTCTGTGAGGTAGGGTCATTCTTTGCTCTTGAGTCCTTGTCCACACAGGTTACACCTTGTGTTTTTCAGTTGCCCATCTGACACCAAAACAGTGTTGAGGGGTTATGGCTGGTGTTAAAGTGTAAAGTTGTGTCATCAGTGGCCAGTGAGGAAGGAGCAGGTTAATAGTTATTTACTTTGGCAAAATAGAACAAATGCAAAGGTAAAATTGGTGAAACTTTAAATTTCCTCATTCTGCTCCAGTGAGTTTAGGCATAATAAATAACTGCAAACTGGACATTAAATTAATACACAGTGTATCTGTAACACTGAAGACAACCGGATTCTAGCTTCAAGGAGAGCAAATACTAGCAACCTTGTAAATGGATAGTATCCTGTTTTATCAAGAGGATTAACTGAAGTATTGCAGGATTTAAAGGGGAGGGTTAAGGGCTGTCCTTCTGCACAACAGCAGTCAACACAGATTTGGACAGAGATTCTCAGTATACACAGCCAGCTGTCAGCTCTGCAGCTTTGCTAAAGCTATCAGAAATTCTAACTGCTTTTGTGGTTTGTTTTTTAGGAGAAACATGGTGCCTGCCATTCATTTCCCCTTTGCTGGCTATGCTTCATGTAGTTATTATTATTTAAGTCTGTCGTTAGTTTCAGCCACCCTCAACAATAGATGGAAGTCATTGCCTTTTTGTATGTTGCTGTAAAAAAAAAAAAAGTGAAACCAAAGTTCGAGATAAAGGATATAGCCCAGCTCACATTCCTCCTGTGCACATGAATTACATATGGCACTGTTAACATCCTGCTGATATGACTTTTGAGTAGCTGGTTTAAAGAGAAACTGCACTTAAAAAGAATTCTGAATTCAATCGACACTTGAATAGACACTTTTTTTTTCTTTTTAATGTCTAGATCAAACCCTACCTTTTGCTCTTAGAAAGGCCTGAATTCAGATTCACCAAGACGCAGGAAACATTGCTTAGAGACAGGTTCATGTTGACATGATTGCCTCACCTATTGCTGCCCATTCATCCTGCAGATTTTGTTTTATAAGATGTCATTCTACTGGAAATGGCCAGTAGAAGATGGTTTGACTGTGGCCATAAACTCACATGTGGTCAGCAGCAATGTTCTGGCATTTAAACTGTGCTGTCCTTTGTTTCGGCTTGAACCAGTCTGACCATTCCCTTCTAACCCCTAAAATCCATCAAGGTCATTAACAACAATCATTCCAGTCTGTCATTGGGGTTACATTTCTTTCTCACTCTGTTGTTGGTTTGAATCTTTTGATCATATCCCTGCATACTTTTCTTCATCAATATTTGCACAAACAAGCAGGTTTACCTCATAATGTGGCCACTGAGTGTAGTGGTTTTTGTAGCTTTGACCATCAGTCCTCTTGGATCAAAGGATCTTTTCCCACCGACCTTACTGAGATTTAGGGTTGTAGCAATAAAATCAGGTGGGCTGGAGACGTATTCCTTGTTCACCAGTTTATTTGTGATAACATCCTTCAAATGGGACCCAGAGTTGGAGGAACAGACAGAAGCATGATTCAAGTTAGACTATCGATAGCTTCAGTAACCAAAATGACTTTGCTTTGAAGGATGTTTAGAGGAGAGCTACTGTGGTGCTCCAACACAGAGCACTTGACTATTACTGAAAATGACCTTTTTGTATTAAAGTATTCACTGCAGAATTGAGGTATTTAAAATTGACAGTGTAAAGTTGTGGACACTCTAGTGCCTTTTGTCAAAGCCATAGCACCACCATCATCATCATCATCATCAACTTTATTTATATAGCACATTTATCCCAGTCATAGCTGCCCAAAGTGCTTAACACAATGACACATAACAACCGTATTAAAAGCCATAGCACCAGGCAGGATTTTCTCAGGTCTTTAGGTTTTCAGTAATTAACATGATGAGACAAGAGGGGCCTTAACAGTAAGTTGAAATCAGCCTAGTTTCCATGTTCATTCTTCTAATGTCAAACCTCTACTTTGCCCAGACCCTTATACCAAGTTTTCATTGAAGATTAAATGACACCCAGACAATTCCATTATTGGTAAATATAAAGTTTAAAACCTTTTACACTGTGATTTTTCTATTGATTCTTTGCCTGGTCATTACATTGACAAGCGCCAGCAGGGAGGAGACATGCATGTCTGCCTCTAAAGCATCTGAAGAAGTAGTACAACATTGAAACATATGTCATGTCATAGAAAACATTTGAGAAATTTTTCTGAGTGGTTTTGTAATCTGAGATAATTTTGTCTTATTACTGCATTCTGGAGAAATAAATTCATACAAGTTCAAATGAATTCATATTCAATATTTTTTTGTTAAATAGAAATATGGCCAATCATTTTCTGAAATGTGTCATTGCCAGCACCAAAAATAAAAGTCAGACTGGTTGAGACTTTGTGCTTTTAGTTTTCTCATCTGTACACTTCAGTGTCTGTTTTTGTAAATGGTGATTTTGTGATTGAATTTATCTTGTACAGTGCAGTGCAAAAGTTCTAAGCACTGAAAGTAAAATAATTCTGCCTTAAAAAGAAGACACAAATTGTTTTATCAGTTCATACAAAGTGCACAATACTTGGCAGGTAGGGTGTTCCATGCACCTTGGAGAGCTTGTTAGCATTCTTCTGTGGATTTGGTCTGTCTCTGTGTTTTCTCTCTCCATGTAATCCCAGACTGACTCATTGGTGTTGAGATCGGGGCTCTGTAGGACCCAGACAGTCTATTGCATGAATCCTTGTTCCAGGTGCCTCTCTGGTTGTATTACACAATGGATAACAATCTAAATGTGTAAAGTGCTTAGAACCTTGGCACAGTACTGAAGCAGCCTGTTTCAGAATACCAATCAGTGTGGGATTCATGCTTCAGGCGTGGGAGTGGTTACATAATTTATTTATTTATTTTTTTTACAAAATTCTCATCAACTTCACAAATCTTGCAGTTCTTACATGTATTTTGTGATTTATACAGTTGGTCATGTAAAGTTAGTGTAGTTCTATTGTTTAAAAAAAAAGCTCCACAAAAAGCACATGCGTACTTTGGTTCATTTATTCAAAATGTGGCGTTTTAGGTATATAATTTTGTAAATCTGCTTATACTATGGCCACCGTAACAGGTGTACCCTTGGAATGTCATTCAGTAGGAGATTGAATGAAACCAATGTTATGCAGATGAACCCCTTGTTACATCACGAGGAGCCGGAAGTTCCAGCAGTAATTTCAGCCAATGGTGGTTGGAATGAGATACGTATTAACCAATACACACATGAGCTCCAGGAAATGGGCGGGCACTTTGCAACTCCAGTCACGGACGTTGTCGTGAACTTTGCCGGTGTTGAACTACCCCTGGACCCAAGCCGTCAGTGTGAGTAGCTACATTATAAAAAAATGCGCGAGTTCTTTAAAATGAAGCATGGTGTTGGTGGTGTTTAATGCCATATTACCGTATTTCTAGCTACTGCGTTTTCCATATGTAACTAGATGAGCAGATCTCGTGGTGGACTCCACATGGCTACCTAGCCTGCTAACTAGCTAACAGTTAAACCCTGCTAACTTGCATTAGCCTTCGCGGTGTAAAAACTGCTAGTGGATAGTTTTACAGGTTGGCTAATTTCCGAATCTCTGTAGCAAAGCACGCTGTGTAGTTCTATGTCTCTTGTGGGTACGCGTTGTGTTGTGATCTATTTTTCATGTCTGAGTCCGACTAAAGTGGGCCTTGGCTACAATCAGCCTTGGACAAGTCACTAACTGTAGCTAGCAAGTTTATGGTAGCTAAATGCATGTAGTGAGCTAACGTTTTTGGAACGAACAGTGCTCAAGTGCATTGAATATGCTGTGTGAAGATTGCAAAAGACTGTTTATATCAAAGCACATGCAAGCCAATGTCTTAAATGACACTTTTACAATTGTGACTCAGCCTGTAGGGATTGCCTTAACAATCCGTAGTTCACATTTTGTGATTGTAAGTTACTTTGAATTCAATAAATTGTTCATTCGCGGACTATTTCTTTCCTACTAGGTTGTTACAGTCAAAGACTATGGGCAGTGTGTTGGCTGCCGCTTCCCCAAGTCCGGCCCCAGCCACAGCGGGAGGTGGTCAAGGGGTCCCAGGGTTGGTGTCTGTCCCTCCAGGGTTCACTATGCCTGCGGTATCTTCCGTACCTTCAACATCTGGATCGGGCCAACAGACAGCAGATGCAGATTCCTCACTTCCTAACCCAGGCACATATGAAGAGTGTCACCGTAAATGTAAAGGTTAGAAAATCAGCTGTTGTGTGAGATGTGCATGTTCAACTTTTAAATAATAATCTTTGTATTATTGTTATATTAACATGGGCTTAAATAATTGCCTGATGTTGAATTACATTTATCTTTTTTTATGCGCCCTTTTGTATTTTAGAAGTGTTCCCTCTGCAGATGGAAGGGGTGCGGTTAGTGGTAAACAAGGGCCTGAGTAACCACTTCCAAGTCGGCCATACTATTACCCTCAGTACCTTGGGTGATTCTGGTTATCGATTTGGTGCCACCTACATAGGCAGTAAACAGACTGGACCAACAGAGGTAATGTTTATTTCTCCTTATCATTTCAGCACACCTCTTAAAAAAGTTGGCTTTGGGTTGTAAATGCTCCTGAAGAGATCAAAACTCTAGCAACACTTGCAGTATGTTGAACATCTTTAATGTGGCAATATGTTTTTGGCTTGTGGCCTTGATCAGGGTATGTTAAAAGCACATATCCAAGAGCATTTTAAAAAACAAACAAAAACCAGTAATAATCACATATAGACAAATACTGTATACCGTTATTATACATTACTGTATTACATACTGTAATACAGTAAAAACATGCACATATATGGTTTGGGTTTATGGTCATGTGGTTACAGCCCAGTGTCTCTAAATTGCCTGTAGGAGTGATTGTGTGTGAGTGGTTGTTCGTCTGTGTGTTGGCCCTGTGATGGACTGGCGACCTGTCCAGGGTGTAAAGGGCACCTGCAGCCAGCTGGGATTGGCTCCAGCCCCCCATGACCCCGTTTGGGACTAAGCGGTATAAAAAATGGATGGTTCCTCTTAAAAAGTGTTAAATTTGATTTTTAAAATTTATGGTCAATTTTTTTTGTTGTATTTGTACTTGATGTCTTAAATTTTAAGATGATGCTTAGACTAACGAAGACATCTGAATATTTTATCAAAGGGTTAGGTTTCTGTCTATTGTATCTTCCTAGCATTTAAATTTTTTTTCTTACTAATGTTTGTGGATTTGCGTACTATGTCTTGCATTCACGTGACTTACACATACACTTGTCTCCCACTATCCATGAACAGAAAAGAGAAGAAGCTAGCAAGATGGGGAGATGGCTTTAAGTCCAGGGAATGGTTAGCTGTCAGATGTTTTTTTTTTTTTTTTTTTTTTACATTCATACCTGTTAAAAGCTCTTGGATGTGTTAATAAACCCCGATGAAGGCCACAAGCCACAACATGTTGGTCCCGCATTCAAATTGTTCAACATGTTGCAAGTGGTGCATGGATGAAGAAAACAAACTGAAGAGAAACTCCAGCAACACTTGCAGCATACACTGCCAAGGTGCATGCTGCAAGTGTTGCTAAAGTTTCTCTTCAGTTTGTTTTCCTCATCCGTGCACCTTGGCAGTGGGCTAAGTTGTACTTGGCCTGTCTCTTTGTAGTTGCCTACTGGCTTCCTTGACTGGACAGAACCAATCAATTCTCTCTTAATTGCACAGTCAACTGGTCTCAGGGGTTTAATATGAATGAAGGTGGTGCTCTTGTGTTCATTTATGATTTGATATTGCTTTTGCTATTTAAGCTTTTTTTTTTTGTAATAGTAAAATTACTTTATATGCTGTATTACATTTGGAAATATAAGAATATGAAAGAAGGAAGGTGTTGCCATATGACAGCTCTACGGATGGGGGACACATGAAAGGTAAAACCACCACTGTGTCTTAGTAAGGTGTTGTACCGCCAGAACTGCTTCAGTGCACCTTGGCGTTGATTCTACAAGTCTCTGAACTCTACTGGAGGGATGAGCACCAAGATATTCTCTCATTCTCTGTTGTGATGATGGTGGTGGAGACTGTTTAACACACTAATCCAGAATCTTCCTTAAGTGTTCAGCTGGGTTGAGATGAAGACCATAGCATATGATTTAGTTTTCATACTCAAAAGCCATTCTGCGGCCCCTTGTGTCCTGGGGCACTGTAATCCTTGAGTTGTCGTCTCATTTCTTCAGGTTTTTCTTTTGCCAGTCTGTATGTGGAAGCAAACAGGATCCAGCATGCATAGGAGCAGAAAAAAAAAAATACCATGGTTATATTGTCTTTTATTGGTTTCAGATTGATGAATTTTAATGACCCCTTTTGTCTCTGTCGGTATTTAAAATGGAAAACTACATTTAAGGTAGACTTTATCCTTTTCCCAAGAGGAGCACAAAAGCAACTGATAAATACAGCTCAACATTTCACAGCTGTTTGGGAAGCTATACAGCCCAAGATGCCAAAACTGTTACTCTTGATACAGATGACAAGGTTTCACATGTCATTCACGATTTGAAAATCTGACAAACCTGTGCTTTGTTTCCCCTAGTCATTCCCAGTCATGGTCGGAGACATGGACAGTACCGGCAGTCTGAATGCCCAGATCATCCACCAGCTCACAACTGCTGTTCGCTCCAAAATAGCCATCCAGGTATGCAGACTTATAGAGGGAACAACCCTCTCAGTTGTGGTCTGTTTCAGCATGCTAGGTGTCAGACTTTTTTTTTTAAACTTTTTTTGTGTGTGTGTGTATTGTAGACTCAGCAGCATAAATTTGTGAATTGGCAATGCGACATGGAGTATCATGGTGCAGACTTCACCTCTGCTGTCACAGTTGGAAATCCAGACATACTGGTTGGATCTGGTATGAGTATGATTCTCACAGAATTTGGGGGGGGGTTGTTGTATAAACATTGGTACTGTCTTATAACGACTTCAACATGGGTTTGTTCAAAGTGGGAACTTTAACAGAATATAACTTGTGTATGGGTGGTTGAATAGTTAAAGTTGGTATCACACTAACAGCATGTTTTTGCTCAGCATACAAGATACTCAAATTGTTAATGCAATTGGAGCTGAAATAGTTTTGATGCAATAACACTAAGTGATTCATAGCTCAAGTCACTTTTTAAGCAAAACATGATCCAGTTCTAGATTCACAATTGAAGATTTGCCATTTTTTTCTACAAAATAAGCAGCATATGTTTAATCTTTAGAGAGCTAGATGGACAAAAAAAAACACTTTGGGCTGTGAGAATTTTGTTCCAGGGGCTGAGAGGATCAGAAAACATGACAAAGTGGTGAAAGATCTGAGAAAGAGAGGAAAACATCCAAACAGCAAATACAGAATAAAAGCTTTATTACTTTTTCAGGCATTTTGGTGGCCCACCACCTCCAGTCCATTACACCAGCACTGGCTCTGGGTGGTGAGCTGGTGTACCACAGAAGACCAGGGGAGGAAGGAACTGTCACTTCCTTCTTGGGCAGGTACACAGGTAAAATCTCCCCTGAGCCTACTGAGCTATGCACTAAAAGTCTAAATGAAACCCATATTTACCCTCTTGCTTTGTAAACCTTCTAATTTCACTATCAGCTTCCAAAATATTCACTGTGGAAATTTTTATTCATTTTGCTGTACTGTGATCACAATTTAGATAAAGTGGTGCCTTATTCCATACCATTGTATTATGTTATTTTTGTGTTAGATGTTCACAGCTTTGTTTTCTGTCTCAGGAGACAACTATGTTGCTACATTGACTTTAGGAGGAGCAGGAGCTCATGCTACATACTACCACAAGGCCAATGATCAGGTATATTTGATTTGATTTGATTTATTCTTTCAAGCATGTAAAGACAGTTGATATGACAGCACACATGATTGTACACATAATCCAATATCAATTTGCTTATACCTAGTACATGCTTGAATGGACTAGGAAGAAGTCAGACTTATCTAGTCCTACCCCATGACATCATCTTACCATCATTGGTTTGCAAGCAGTAAATGATTCTCTTCTACACCACACACATATTATACTAAAAAAGTTTATACAGTGTTAACATTCTTACATAATTACATTCTTAAATAATTCTCTTCTACACCACACAAGTAATATACTAAAGAATTATTACAAAGTGTTAACATTCATACACCACACCCACAATGTTCCATCTAATTAATCATTAAGCCTGTTCTTGCATATATCTTGATTGACACATACCTTTATATTTATGTTTAAACTCGTCAATTCTATTACTATTTTTTATGTCCACACTTAAATTATTCCATAGTTTTACCCCACTTATGGAAA